GTGCTGTGATGCTGTGATGCTGTGGTGCCGACGCTGATGGTGGTGATGGTGGTGCTGCACTGATGGTGGTGCTGCACTGATGGTGGTCCTGCACTGATGGTGGTCCTGCACTGATGGTGGTGCTGTACTGATGGTGGTGATGCAGGGGTGGCACTGATGGCGGTGCTGCATTGATTGCGGTGCTGCGGTGCTGCGGTGCTGCACTGATGGTGATGCAGGGATGGCACTGATGGCGGTGCTGCGATGATGGTGGTGATGGTGGTGCTGCACTGATGGCGATGCAGGGATGGCACTGATGGTGGTGATGCACTGTTGGTGATGATGCAGGGATGGCACTGATGGCGGTGCTGCACTGATGGTGGTGATGCACTGTTGGTGATGATGCAGGGATGGCACTGATGGCGATGCTGCACTGATGATGGTGATGCAGGGATGGCACTGATGGTGGTGATGCACTGTTGGTGATGATGCAGGGATGGCACTGATGGTGGTGCTGCACTGATGGCGGTGCTGCGGTGCTGCAGTGACGATGCTGATGGCGGTGATGCAGGGGTGGCACTGATGGCGGAGCTGTGATGCTGCGGTGCTGCACTGATGGTGGTGATGGCGGTGCTGCACTGATGGTGGTGATGCAGGGATGGCACTGATGGCGGTGCTGTGATGCTGCGGTGCTGCACTGATGGTGGTGATGCAGTGATGGTGGTGATGCACTGTTGGTGATGATGCAGGGATGGCACTGAATGTGGTGCTGCTCTGATGGTGATGATGCAGGGATGGCACTGATGGCGGTGCTGCACTGTTGGTGGTGATGCAGGGGTGGCACTGATGGCGGTGCTGCGGTGCTGCGGTGCTGACGCTGATGGTGGTGATGGTGGTGCTGCACTGATGGCAGTGCTGTGGTGCTGCACTGATGGTGGTGATGGCGGTGCTGCACTGATGGTGATGCAGGGATGGCACTGATGGCGGTGCTGCACTGATGGTGGTGATGGCGGTGCTGCACTGATGGTGATGCAGGGATGGCACTGATGGCGGTGCTGCGGTGCCGACGCTGATGGTGGTGATGGTGGTGCTGCACTGATGGCGGTGCTGCGGTGCTGCTTTGATGATGCTGATGGTGGTGATGCAGGGATGGCACTGATGGCGGAGCTGTGATGCTGTGGTCCTGCACTGATGGCGGTGCTGCACTGATGGCAGTGCTGCGGTGCTGCACTGATGGTGGTGATGGTGGTCCTGCACTGATGGTGGTGATGCAGGGATGGCACTGATGGCGGTGCTGTGATGCTGTGGTGCTGCACTGATGGTGATGCAGGGATGGCACTGATGGCGATGATGCAGTGCTGCACTGATGGCAGTGCTGTGATGCTGCGGTGCTGCACTGATGGTGGTGCTGCACTGATGGTGATGCAGGGATGGCACTGATGGCGATGATGCGGTGCCGACGCTGATGGTGGTGATGGTGGTGCTGCACTGATGGTGGTGCTGAACTGATGGTGATGATGCAGTGATGGCACTGATGGCAGTGCTGCAGTGACGATGCTGATGGTGGTGATGCAGGGACGGCACTGATGGCGGTTGTGCAGTGCTGCACTGATGGCGATGCTGCAATGATGGTGGTGATGCAGGGTGCTGCAGTGCTGCGGTGGCGATGCTGATGGTGGTGATGGTGGTGCTATGCTGATGGTGATGCAGGGATGGCACTGATGGCGATGCTGTGGTGCTGCACTGATGGCGATGATGGTGGTGCTGCACTGATGGCAGTGATGCAGTGCTGCACTGATGACGCTGATGGTGGTGATGCAGGGATGGCACTGATGTCGGTGCTGCACTGATGGTGGTGCTGCGGTGCTGCACTGATGGTGGTGATGGTGGTCCTGCACTGATGGCAGTGCTGTGGTGCTGCGGTGCTGCACTGATGGTGGTGATGCATGGATGGCAGTGTTGGCGGTGCTGCGATGCTTTGGTGCTGCACTGATGGTGGTGATGGTGGTGCTGCACTGATGGCAGTGATGCAGGGATGGCACTGATGATGGTGATGGTGGTCCTGCACTGATGGCGGTGCTGCAGGGATGGCACTGATGGTGGTGATACAGGGATGGCACTGTTGGCGTTGCTGCGGTGCTGCACTGATGGTGGCGATGCAGGGATGGCAGTCATGCGGTGCTGCGGTGCTGCAGTGCTGGTGGTACTGGTGATGCAGTGCTGGTGGTGCTGTGGTGCTGCACTGATGCACACTGATGCGGTGCTGCTGGTGGTGCTGGCGGTGCTGCGGTGTTGGTGGTGCTGGTGATGCAGTGCTGGTGGTGCTGGTGGGGCTGCACTGATGCGGTGCTGGCGGTGCTGCGGTGCCTGTGCTGCTGGTGGTGCTGTGGTGCTGGCGGTGCTGGCGATGCTGGTGGTGCTGCGGTGCTGGCGGTGCTGGTGATGCGGTGCTGGTGGTGCTGGCGATGCTGGTGGTGCTGCGGTGCTGGTGTTGCTTGTGATGCGGTGCTGCGGTGCTGGTGCTGCTGGTGGTGCTGGCGGTGCTGCGGTGTTGGCGGCGCTGGTGATGCAGTGCTGGTGGTGCTGGCGGTGCTGCAGTGCTGGCGGTGCTGGTGATGCAGTGCTGGTGGTGCTGGTGGTGCTGTGGTGCTGCACTGATGCACACTGATGCGGTGCTGGCGGTGCTGCTGGCGGTGCTGTGGTGTTGGTGGTGCTGGTGATGCAGTGCTGGTGGTGCTGGTGGGGCTGGTGGGGCTGCACTGATGCGGTGCTGGCGGTGCTGCGGTGCCTGTGCTGCTGGCGGTGCTGTGGTGCTGGCGGTGCTGGCGATGCTGGTGATGCGGTGCTGCGGTGCTGGTGCTGCTGGTGGTGCTGGCGGTGCTGCGGTGTTGGCGGTGCTGGTGATGCAGTGCTGGTGGTGCTGTGGTGCTGGTGGGGCTGCACTGATGCGGTGCTGGCGGTGCTGCGGTGCTGGCGATGCGGTGCTGGTGGTGCTGCGGTGCTGGTGGTGCTGGTGGTGCTGTGGTGCTGCACTGATGCACACTGATGCGGTACTGGCAGTGCTGGTGATGCGGTGGTGGTGCTGCTGCACTGATGCGGTGCTGGTGCTGCTGGTGGTGCTGCAGTGCTGGTGGGGCTGCACTGATGTGGTGCTGGTGGTGCTCTGGTGCTGGCGATGCTGGTGATGCGGTGCTGCGGTTCTGGTGCTGCTGGTGGTGCTCTGGTGCTGCACTGATGCACACTGATGCGGTGCTGGCGGTGCTGGTGATGCGGTGGTGGCAGTGCTGGCAGTGCTGACGATGCTGGTGCTGCGGTGCTGGTGGTGCTGCGGTGCTGGTGCTGCTGGTGGTGCTGCGGTGCTGGCGATGCTGGTGATGCGGTGCTGCGGTGCTGGTGCTGCTGGTGGTGCTGGCGGTGCTGCGGTGTTGGCGGCACTGGTGATGCAGTGCTGGTGGTGCTGGTGGGGCTGCACTGATGCGGTGCTGGCGGTGCTGCGGTGCTGGTGATGCGGTGCTGGTGGTGCTGCAGTGCTGGTGGTGCTGGTGGTGCTCTGGTGCTGCACTGATGCACACTGATGCGGTGCTGGCGGTGCTGGTGATGCCATGCTGGTGGTGCTGCGGTGCTGGTGGTGCTGCGGTGTTGGCGGTGCTGGTGATGCAGTGCTGGTGGTGCTGGTGGTGCTGGTGGGGCTGCACTGATGCGGTGCTGGCGGTGCTGCGGTGCCTTTGCTGCTAGCGGTGCTGTGGTGCTGGCGGTGCTGGCGATGCTGGTGATGCGGTGCTGCGGTGCTGGTGCTGCTGGTGCTGCTGGTGGTGCTGCGGTGCTGGCGGTGCTGCGGTGCTGGTGGTGCTGTGGTGCTGGCGATGCTGGTGATGCGGTGCTGCGGTGCTGGTGCTGCTGGTGGCGATGCGGTGCTGGCGGTGCTGCACTGATGCGGTGCTGGCGATGCGGTGCTGGCGGTGCTGCGGTGCTGGCGGTGCTGCGGTGCCGGCGGTTCCGCGCTGCGGCCCCACGGGGAGCGTTGCGGGTCGGGCGGCGCCGCGCCCACGGACGGCGTTGGTGCGAGGCGGCGGCGGCGGCGGCGGCGGCGGCACGGCGGAGCGGCGGCCCCGTCGAACTGAAGTGCTGTATTTAAATCCACAGAGCCGCTACGGCGCGGGCGGCGGCGGCGGAGGCGGCGGCGGCGGCGGCACCTCCACCCTTTGCCTGAGCGCTGAGCCGGAGGAACCACCTCTAAAGGTGAGAGGGGCCGCTCAGCCTCCACGCCCCTGCGCTCCTCCGGCCCCGCCGCCGCGCCCC